CAAATATTAAACTTATAAACCATAAAACATGACAGATAAAACTATATTTCCACTCTATTAATGCACCACATGACTAACTGGTGTTTAGCACTGCAGAATGATGATTCGTCATGAAAGAAAACAAAATATAAAAAAGTCCTGTTAATAATTACACTACAGCTAAGTTCATGTAGAGAGCAGACTAGAACAAGAAGCATATTTCATGAAATTAATATTTATAAAAGAGCTGATATCCCTTAAAGTGTTCTGCTGACTGAGGTGGCAACTTCCCAAGCAATGACTTAGCTAGTCCACAACTAAGGCAATGAGTGACCAGTTCTGTGAATACCGGTACCATGACCGAATAGCACTGTGACCTGAGTTCAGATTAAACTGCTGGCTATATGAACTGCTATGACACCCTGCTACCCCAAGACCATAATGAGCGAGTAAACAAATTATGCAGTTATGACACTGGTATTGTTTCAAGGAACTCCACTACGGGAGGAACTTATAGCTGGATAAAGAAGAAAATACAATTATGTTATGGGAATAAGATGGATGATAACATGACTGGTACTTGTGGAAAGGAACTTAAAGGATGGTGTGAATCATTAAACAGACTAAAGTATGTACACAGTAAATTAAAAATGATGAATGGAAGAAATAGCTAAAGTGAGCATATCTGAATGACTTCAAAGGTAGCAGTTCTAGCAGGTTAAAAAAAAAAAAAAAAACAATGATGGAAGGACAAAATGATACCATATCCTGATACGACCAAAATGTAGTAATATAATGATAACTGGACAAGATTTTGTGAGGGGACAATTTATTCAGTGATGATGACTGTGATTAAGTCTGTGTGCATGTGTGTGTGCACATGGTTGTCAATGGATGGATTGGTACAGCAGACAAAGCTCCATATTCAGCACCTTTCTGTACTTTATTTTCCTACAATGAGCTTACATTACTTCAGTACAAAGAGTGATTCAACATCTACAGTATGGCTCAGTGATGAGCTCAAGTGATTAAAGTGCTGTATTTGGAAAATATGAAATACTTTTTACTAACACAATTTTCCTACTTAAGCAATACAGGTGCTCCTCTACTTACGAACGAGTTACGTTCCTGAGGCTTGTTTGTAAGCCCAACTTTACTCTTGTAGATACCAAACATATTGTAAAAATGAAAAGATTATGGATATTTAGTACAGCTATACCCTTTAATACAGCCTTAAAACCTGGCTCATTCTTCTCCTCTTAGGTAATGTTTGTTTTATCTGGAATTTTCTTCAAAATAATCCAGTCTCATCCACATTAAGCACCTGTTCTGGCAGGTAACCAACCTCAGTGATAATGTTTGTATCTCTGAAAGTTGTAAGTTGAACGTTTTTAAGTAGAGGAGCACCTGTACTGCATCTTCAGCAATTAATTAAAATTGTCTTCAATTTACATGAAGCACTTCATTGCAGTGTGCGTTAACTCATTACAAAGAACTATATGACAATAATCAAGGTGAGATTCAATTAAATTTGAAAATAGAGTATTAATAAAAAAAATAGTCATATCTTGGTGATCTATTGTAATAGATCGTTTCCTATTTCAATTATGGTACAGTGCTTCACACTGCTGCAAAATATTTGAATTAATAAATACTGTATCAACACTAATGCCAATGACAAAATTTGATGTTTCAGGTTACAGATCATACTAAATGATATAAGTACAACACTTTACATAATGAAAATGTTTGTTACAAGAAAATAATATTCTGAAGCACTTCATAGTGTTTGTTCAATACAGTGAAACTTTGCAGTGAAATAAAAAATTAAATGCACTGCAATAATTGGAATACCATACTGTACAGTAATTTCAAATCATATACACCCTCCCCTCCTTTGAATAAAGATTTCTTGTATAATTTAATGGAATTGTATTGTCTGCTGAAATGTATATATCTTTAAAAAAGTTAACGTGGATTAATTTCAAATGGGCTCAAATTTCATGATGCACATTACAATCCCCATGAACATCATCCATTACACACAGTCAGCAGGAATACTGATGTATTTCAAACTTGATTTGTTATATACATGGCAGACTATTGCACCTTCAACTTTATAAATAAAACAATTGACCCAAGATAGCTAAAAGAAAAAGAAAAGTAACAGAGACGTGACCGATCGCCCAAGCAGCTAACGAGCCGATCAGTGGTGAAGAGGATAAAAGTAAATGCCCAGCTGGCTGAATACAGTAATTTTAAATCTAAAACTATTGCCCCCTTCCCCCCTAGAAACATTGAATCAATTAAATATAATTTTTTTTTAATAGAAGTACTTTATTGTATAGTACACACACAAAAAGTAAATAAATAAATAAAAATAAAACATGGAAAAGCTGATGATGTGACACCACTGGACGGACAATTGGCCACAGTAGTTGTTTAGCCAGCTGAGCTCAAGATGACATCAAACCAAATTCATGTTAATAGCAATAATGAGACACTGTTTTATATAAAGTCATCACAATAGCTGCAATGCTTTCAATCATTTAAAAAATATACACAGTATAAATTTCACACTTTGCCTATAATTTTTGGTATTGAATATAATTAAAAATTTGGTATGACAACAAATCATATAACTGAATAATAACATCTGTTGAGACCACCAGAAATACTGTAAACACTGTTCTTTTACGTTGTAGGTAAAGCATGTAAGGGATTACCATTTATCTTCACATACAGTATAGCTAATAGAATTTAGATATACAGTACACAAGTTTAATATGATTACCGTACTGTCAAAAAGGCTTTCTATTAGTATAGACACCAACTTTCTTAATATATGAAGTGATGTTTCATGTGCACACCCTATTAGCCAAGGTGAGAAATTTATCACAGTGACTTTCCATGATAAAAAGAAAAATGTCAAACTTAAAATGTGTTATCACTTAAAAGCGAAACCTGCAACACAGTGTGTATATAGAACAGTATCATAAAATGTGATCTTTATTAAGTACACTTTACCCCATTGTGAATGTCTTCACTTTCCACTGACAGTGACTAGGTGATGTATAAACAATGTTATTGCGCTCCAAATTCAAGTGGTAATATATTAAAGCCACAGAAAATCATGACACTAATAATTAGCTATCCAAAGCAATAAAGTAGTATGCAGAGTAGTCTAATACAACAGCTGTTTCATGAGCAAAACTTTAGATATAAAACTGTACATATCAACAACTGGGTGAGGACCTCCAGTCTTAACAAAACATCACTAACACTACACTGAAGCAGATGTTCAAGTTAAAGATGTTCTGTCCTTCAGTTTTCAGATACAATAAACTTTGTCTACTCACACAATGAGTAAAATTCTGGTGCAAGGCATATTAGCTCTCTCCACAATGAAAACTATCACGTTTGTTCCTGTCTTGCATCCATATGCAAATCATTGAGTACTGTAGTTCTATCATAAGGCTTGGAGGTGATGTAGCCTCCAGAGAATTTTCCTTTTCAAACACCTCACACTCTTTCAGCAATGCTTGTTATCAAGCTACACTGTACAGTATACTGCAATAATAAAAATAATTACTTGTGAGGACTGGAAAAAAACTGTTACCATGGTATGTCAGAACTAATCGAGTAACCTTTCATTACTTTTAGACTACCAACCTGGCATAAAATATATATTGTATCTTGTTTGGCTCAGTATAGGCTTAATCCCTGTTACTGATGGAGTTGCCTGAAATACAAATTACCGGTAACTTGCATATTACGGATGAACAAATAATTTGCATTTAAGTATGCAAATTATTTTAGGAAACTCAATGGTTTCTGTTACATAAGTTAACACAGTACAAATAATAAACTTGTGTGCTTTTTATTTTCAAATTACATCGCCCCTTAACCCTTTTGCCAGCCGATGACACTACAGTACAGTATTTGTGTCACTATACGGGCCGTGGGGAGCAATACGCCTCCCTTGATCCTGAGTGCTCACACTGGCCAGACCACTTGCATGTAGATCTGGTGCACAAGATGTTATCTTTCCACACTTATTTTCAGCCACCCCTTTCATTTATACAACTAGTACAGTACAAGTATATTGTTCTTTTATCACTTAATCAGATAATTTATCTTTTTAACTCAATAAAAAAGAAAAAAAATTGCATAATTTTACCCGTAAATGGTAAATGAAAAATAAATTAAATGAAAAATCAATGCATTTTCGGCAACACAGACAGCGTCATTGGCCAGTCTATGGGCGAGATTGGCAATGACAGATTGCATCATCGATCTCACTACGGGTGAGATTTGGACCACATGAACTGCCAGCAAAAGGGTTAATTTTTATTTAAAAAAAAAGTTCCGTTTTCAGTTCTTCAGTGACTACTGAGTAAAAGTGATAGAAATTTATTTACAGGAATCATTACTACAATGCATATAGTACAAGATTTTTCTTTCAGACATCAGTACAGTACTTACACAATTTGCTTGTCATTTTCAACATTTCTTTGAGGCATTAAACCGGGTTAGGTTGCTTCTGGCAGTAACCCCCCCACCCCCCCCAGGATAAATTGAGAAAAATAAACTTTTCCAAGAATAAAAAAAAAAAAATGGCGGGAATAGGCGGATGTTCTGGAACGTCACCCGGCGCCAAGGGTTAATCAAATTTAAAGTATATATTCTTTGTAGACTATTCTGTTCAGCATGAAAACTGACTTGAAATTACAGCAAAATTATCAGGCAAAAATATGGTGAAGTGTTCTCAGAGCACTACAGTAACATGAGCAGGAGTTGGTGTTATTTGGTCATGGTAGTTTGCTAGTACAGTAATGGCTCTGATGTAATACAGAATATATATATATATATATATATATATATATATATATATATATATATATATATATATATATATATATATATATATATATATATATATATATATATATATATATATATATATATATATATATATATATATATATATATATATATATATATATATATTATATATATATATATATATATATTATGAACTTCATAAATTAATCAAATTTTCAGTGCTTTTTCAAAATAGCAATGAATGACATCCATGACCACAATCAATGGAAAATTATTTTTAGCTTTAGCCTTAAAGTGAATAATTTCCGGTTTTCTAGGAGACCACCGAGGCCAGAAGTACAGCACTGTATGTAACAAGATGATTGTCTCACATACTCTATTCAATGACAGATCTGCAAAACTTAACTGTTATGAGCATCACATCTGGGAACAGAATAAAAACCTGCACAAGTTAATATACATGGCTAGTAGTAGTGAAGTAGTGGACTTTACAGTAAGACAATTTATTGTATAAATCAAGGGAACTGACTATTTATCATCACCCATATGAAACACATCCACATCTTGTATTATTCCTTCCACACACACACACACTCATACATTGTCTGTATCACTGATTATATTATTTATTTTAACTACATACAGTAATTTTAAAAACTTCCTTCCTTACTCCTAAAAGTTTAATATGAGAACATTATCCCATCATGGTCTCATTTCCTTCCTTCCTTCCATTCTGGACATTAAGGAGAAGAATTTGAACTATTATCTTCCTCTTATCAAATACAGGTAGTTACTAATTACAAAGAGCATGAAATGCAATGAAGTACAGATTATGTGTAAAAAAGCATTAATACATTATTTAAGTAACCAAAATACCAGGTCTCATTCACTCATCTACAAAACACTAGAATGGCATGTAACAAGTACATCAAAAATATGTAACAACTCTTAAATTTAGGGCTAGACTGGGGCGTGACCAAACTGTGAATCTTTTCGTCTATCATATTCTGCTATGTGCCATGTTTGATTTAAATAAAGGAAGCGTGTAAACAGCCTATAAAGTGTATTACGTGCTTTCACCTCAACGTACATAGCCACAAAGAACGCGACAAAGAAGAGGACTCCACATGTCAAGGTAACTACTTCAGATTTTGTTAGTTCTGCATCATCAATTTTCTTAGGAAGAACACGATCCTGAAATACAAAATTTAAAGTATAAATACAGTACACACCATTCAAATATAATATACATGTTACTGCCAGTAGAATAAACTAGAAGGGAGGGAGAGAGAGAGAGAGGAATAGAAAGAGAAAAGGTGGGGGGGCAGGAGAGAGACAGAGGGAGTGTTGACAATGAGCCTTGCTGAGGTGTGAACAGCTGGCCCTCGCCTCCAGCTGACAAAATCGAGGGCAGTCTCGATCCGTCCAGTGACCTATCAAGTCAAGGAGTTAATAAGTCCTACGTTAGACCCGAAACACGTAAGTTTTATATGGTTTAACACCCTACTCTACTCAAATATACTATATGTAGTCGATAATAGTGATGGAACATATGATTGAATTAATTATCTCATATGTAACATATGTAATTTGTACTCTGCAGGTTTTGACCGAATAAAGAACAATCGAGTCCTACGTGTAAGGGTGTCATTAACCCACAGTCGCTCAATGGGCGGCAACCGTCAAAACATGGGTCCTAGACTCAGGAACAGTCTAAACTACCAAGTGACTCAACAGATGGACCTCAGGGAGACCGACTCACCCCCACAACTACGCAGCAGGAGAACGGAGACGTCTTTGTGTGAATTTGTGAATCATCGATTAAAGTGTGATCCCTATATATAATAATAATAATAATAATAATAATAATAATAATAATAATAATAATAGTAATTAACGGTTTAAAAGTTCTGAAAATATACATTGGACATAAATGACTTATTACATACAGTGGTAGTTTAACAAAAGCCTTCATTAGAGAAAGTTAAAGGAACATACAGTGAACATACAGATTAATGTTTACAGTGGAGGTCACGTAGATCATGTGCGCTGAGGTATTGAACAGCAGACACCTAATGTAGTAATTCCCTCACAGATGGAGTATGGAGTTTGTGGGTTAAGTGTGTGTACAACATTCAAGTTATATGTATATGTATGTATATATGTGTATGTATATATGTATATGTGTATGTATATATGTATATGTGTATATATATGTATATACTGTATGTACTGTATAACAATAGTTACCGGTAAACCCAGTGGTGCGAGTTGAATACGTGTATAACATGTGTTTAGAAATGTGGTCCAGTGTCAGCCATTTCAGAAAGAACTGGTCTCGGCGCAAAATTGTTCGTACAGGCGCGCGGGAGTGTTATCGTTAATTCTTGACAGAGTGGCCTCTGGGTTAGTAATATTCGTACGAACACGTGGGAAAGACAGTGTTTCAAAGTGTACAGACAATTAAGTAACGTTGTGAGAGCATTGATGGCCCTATTACAGGTTGAGAATACGAAATATAATACATTCAATGGAATATATCTATTTCAGTATTCAAGCAAGGACGTCGCTCATGTGTGATATCACTGTTTTGTGTGACATCACTCGTGCGTAGTGCACGTCACGCGTTTGAGGGACATCGCTCGTGTGTCACCACTGTGGTCGTGATTGTATTACATCGCTTATACGCTTCATCGCTTCAGTTGTATGACATCGCTTATACGACTTCAGTTGTATGACATTGCTTACATGACTTCAGATTGTATGACATCACTTGTATAACTTCAGTTACATGGCATCGCTTCACCAGTCATGGAAGGAAACAAGGCAGAGGGGATAAGCCTAGTCAGCGTAGAAGACCTGGAGGCCCTGAACGACGGAGATGCTAACCGGTCACTCATACGACCAGGGCAGGTGGATTCGGGGACCCGCTTTCCTCTTGTTGGAAGAAGACGGTTGGCAAAAGAGTCCAATTAGGATTCCAGACCTCACAGACGGAGACCCAGAGGTGAAGAAAGAAACCACGGTGCTGACAACGAACGCTGACCAGGGGGAGGGTATCCTCGATAAGCTATGAGCCAGGTACTCCTCGTAGCATCGACTTCTGAATAGCGTAGTGTAGATTAGAAGGTTTATAGAATGGCAGCTGGGGAAGTGAGACTCCCGGCAGATAATGGGTTTCGAGCAAGCTCAACAGGGGGAGTGTTACCGCCAGGAGAATAAAGTAGAAGGGAGGGAGAGAGAGAGAGGAATAGAAAGAGAGAAGGGGGGGCAGGAGAGAGACAGAGGGAGTGTTGAAAACGAGCCTTGCTGAGGTGTGAACAGCTGGCCCTCGCCTCTGGCTGACAAAATCGAGGGCAGTCTCGATCCGTCCAGTGACCTATCAAGTCAAGGAGTCAATAAGACCTACATTCGACCCAAAACACATAAGTTTTATATGGTTTAACACCCTACTCTACTCAAATATACTATATGTAGTCGATAATAGTGATGGAACATATGATTGAATTAATTATCTCATATGTAACATATGTAATTTGTACTCTGCAGGTTTTGACCGAATAAAGAACAATCGAGTCCTACATGTAAGGGTGTCATTAACCCACAGTCGCTCAATGGGCGGCAACAATACATACTGTACCAAAATAAAAAAATTATATCTGCAGAATGTGACTTCCTTAACCATAAATGTAATCTTCCAGAAAGAATGGCATCAGGTTCAAAAGGAGGTGTGCAGGTCACAAATTTGTATGATGGTTCAGACAAATCACTGGCTAACCTCTAAATCTGTTTGCCTTCAATAGAATCAGAAAGAATATTCCTGTGATAGTGACACCTCTGAATAGAAGCATATTGTATTGGTTATCCTGTGATACAGTACGTATAAGAATTTATGAACTCATTTTCAGAAAGTAATAAGATAAGTAAAAATACAAACCTACAAATGTCTACAATAAAGAAATGGAAATAAAATGCAGACAAAGAAAATAATATTTACATTAAGGAAACAAATATAAACAAGAAATGAGGAGCAGCATCAGGTATGAGATAAAAGGCATGATTATGTCTAAACCACAAAAGGCCAGGAGGAAGGTCTGGTTCTACTGAGAGTTGCAACTAAGGGTCAATTGAAATTTGAAATGGCACTGCTAAAAGTGATGTAGTGTGTATGAGTGAATAACAAAGCAACAGTGGAGACATATATAGATGTAGAGCTATATACAAAACTGTGGGAGTGCTGCAGCCAATAAGAACGGTGGTAAAGCGGTAAACCGTATCTCTCATGACTGTGTCCTGGGTTCAAGTCCTGACTTAGGATAATAAAATTCATAAAAGGTAAAGTACCATAACAACGAACAGACCAACCACATGAATGACTTGTAAACTGATAGGTGGTGAAATGTTAAATTAAATTAATTATCACTTACCTGTTTGAAGCAGATAATTGTGATTGTCGCACAAGCAGCCATGATTATTAGGCACACCAAGAAGATAGAATGAAGGATTTTATCAGCTCTTGAGCAAGATGGAAGCTGCCAATGGTGTAGCTGTGGAAAGTTAACTAGCATAAAGATATATACAGTACACACAATATACCGTACTGCTTTCTATATTCAAGGAGTAGTAGCACCAGCAGCTCATTTCATAAGCTAATCAAAGCAAATTATATCTCACACACACACACCTACTCCTCACTCTACCTTCAAATTTTATTTTGAGTTTTCCCCAAATACAATACACAAACTATCATTACCAACAGATAGTTCTTCATTTACAGACTCCAGTTTGCATTTTATCTTCTTAAATCATATACAGTAACAGCATCTTCAATAGATTTATAAATACTTTCCATACAATTTGTTTTCTTTTCTGAAACTTTTGTAACTAGAACCCTGAAGTCTTTGTTGTATCAAGGGTCTTGTCTTTACTTTACTTAGATCAATACCACTACAGTAGTTTATCCCTGTCATTTCACACAATACAGCATAAAAAATCAGCAGCCCATCCATCACTAAAATAATGTAACTAATGTGTAAAAAATCACCCACAACTACAAGCTACCAACTGCCTACTTACTCTGAATTTCTTGTGTCTGTGGAACTGATAGTTGCACAACTCACAAGCTGGAGCCTTTTTGCACCGTTTTACCTCTAACCATTTCTGAAATATAAAACCATACATAAGTTTTGATCAATATATTATTCAGGTATGATTATCATGTAGTTGTAATATTTCCCGGACAGTACCGGTAAGCTCAAATACTACTGCAGATATATCAAGGTTTTATAAGAAATAATAAACACATGAACTCTATGATAAACTTTAATACTGGCTGCTTTTGGAATACTGTACAGGACTGTATTTAAAACTTTATATCAACCACTTAAATGTTGACTTGAATTTTTTTTACAATACTTCTTGTGAACTTTACATTGAAATGTGGTCCTCATAATACAGTATGTCTGGGCTTTAGACATTACTTCAAAATTGTCAAAGAACTAAGAATAAGAAAAAAACAAAAACAATGACATGTATGGTAGCTTCTGCAACATTGCCCTAAATCCCTCATGAAGTCAGTGACATTCAATAATTCAGCATCTACCAGTCTCTCCTAGAGATCTCTTTTAGAGTTATGTTGAATAATTATGTGTTGTGTCAGGGATGGATTGGAAGCTTTTAGGTGACGAGTATCGCAGGGATGAGCAGTAGCTTGGGCGGAGAGGAACACCGAGTCAGGTAGATTCAGTGTCTATACTAGTTGAAGGAGTGGTGGTGGTGGTGCTGGCCAAAATCAACTCATTAGGTGAACTCTTGTTTTTCTATACAGGACTGTAGTGGGTGGGTTATTTGGTGCTGGGTTCTGATGGTAGTCTGATGACTAAAAAATATGTTATTTGACTAAGGATGTGTTTGTAGGTCCTTAGGCTTTGGAAGGCTGGGGTGTGTTAGTTAATAAGACTATCTGTGTGGTGGTGTGCTTTTGTCTACAGTCTACAGCACATTTATGGAGGACAGTGGTTCAATAAGAAGTTGCAAGGGTGGTTGATGAGGTCTAATTGTTGTAGTTATGATAACTGTTAAAGAAGATCTGGCAAGGGAGGCTGTCATGTGGTTTTGGTTGAGTTATTGTTTTATTTCTTATAGGTATCACTGAAGTATAATTTATGTGGGTTGGATCATAAGTAAGAAGTTACAGTACACAATGCATACATATTTGTCAATTTTTTCTCCATAATAATTTGCCTTGTATACAACAGTTCACATGAATTCCTTCCTCCACCCTAGTACAGTGGGGAGGATTACAGTGTGGTGGTAGAGCTTGTAAGCAAAGCGAAGATTGCGTACATTAAGGCAGCCCTGGTGGATGAACTGCATGGTGCCAGCACATCTGCAGGGTGAGATGAGTGTGTCCAAACCATCACCTTGTGGGTGGTGACAGATGCGGCACATGGGCATAGATGCTGTTGATGATGATGCTGACAACACTCCTGGAAATGCATTGCAAATATATAAAAAAACCACCTGATTAAAAGTAAAAGTTTCCATAAATAAAACATTCACACAGATATTAGGTAATCTCATTACAAATAGTTAACATGTTTTGAATATTATAATGTAACTACAAATATGACAATTTGAATGTACACAGTACTGTATTCTGCCATTTTCTGTGTCCAAGAAAACAAAACCAGGAACTTAAATTGCTGGCAACACAATTTCAAGCATCAATAACATTAGAAAAGTTTGGTGGCCCTAAGCATGACACATTTATTCAAACTAGGCAGACACAAAAAGAGAAATATAATGTACTGAAGAACAGATAGGGGAAGGTGGTAAAATAAATTACTGTACTCTCACCATCATATTTACATTCAATTATATGAATCAAATTTTCAGGGCAGCTGTATTTGCATTGCTCAATAATTTTATATATAAAAGAGGTTCAAGTATTGATTTTAGAGGTCGAGCTTTTTAAAACAGATCCATCATCATATATTCTGCATGACATAGGTGAAGGTGTTGAGGCCTCTTATTTAGTGCAGTTATCCCATCTTGTTAATTTGGAATTGAAATGAAGATGACTGGCATACACAGATGGACAGACTTGTCTCCATTCACTTCTTTAACATTATTAATAATGCTTATCTAGTCACTAGTCATCCTTGACCTACTGTACTTTACTCACAAATTCTTAGAATTTAACATTAGTAATATTTTATGAGCTCTACTTCTCTCCCTCCCAACCAACAGCTGTGTTATGTATAACATATATGAACTGTAATCAGTACACTATACAGTGGTCCCTCGGTTAACGAACGGTTCGGTTAACGAATTACCTTCCATAAGAATCTTCAATTCGGTTAACGAAAAAAATTCAATTAACAAAATCCTTACGAACATCACGTTTTGTTGTGAGCATCAGCTGATGGGCTAGTCTGCCAATTCAGTAATCTGTTCTTTGTTTACATTCATTTCCAGTGGAATAAATATCAAGAAAGTTGTGCTCTTTAATATTTTTGCATTTTTTATATTAAAATTATTAGTCATTTTAACATTTATTTAACATATTGATAATATATGCAGTACAGGGAACTAGTTTTTTGTGCGCCCATCAGCAGCTTGACCCAGCAACAAGGCGTCAGTTGGGCTCTGTTGACAGTGGAGTGAACATCTATTTTGTTGGTGTCTTGAATATTTTTGCATTTTTCATTTAAATTATTGGTCTTTCTGGAATTTAGTTAACATATTGATAATATATAGCACAGTGCAGTGTTGATTTAAATAAACTAAACTTAAATTACACCTAGTGAACTTAAAATTTTATTGGTGAAATGATGGCATCAAGCATGGGTACCCTGAAAAGTGATTCTCCTCCATCCCCACTTCTCCCTTCTCCTCCACCCCCACTTCTAATTCCCATTAGCATCAACAACCAGGAGCTTTCTACATACACACCTCAAAATAAGTGTACTTTACTGCATTTTGTTTTTACTTTGTATGTACTTTTCGGTGAGCTGGAACCAATTACCCAATATCCCATTGAAACAATGGATTTGGTTAACGAACGACCCTCTGGAACAAATTGTGTTCGTTAACCGAGGGACCACTGTACTGTACCGTATACCGATGAGTCCTCAACAAAACAAACTGGAATCTCAATATGCAATTGGCTTTTTATGTAAAAAATACTTACTTAACAAAAGAAGCTCACATGTGCATCACCACCCAGTTAAACAATGTTTCAAACCTGTACTTGGTGTGGGCCCCCCCCCAAGTACTAGATCCTGAGGCAAAGAGCTCCAACTTGCAAACATGTGGATCATATACAACATGGTGGAAACGTAGTTAAACACTGTTGTTGAGGAGAGAAATTATAATATTGTGGAAGAGCAAGAGGATGAAAGTTGTCACAATATGAACTATATGACATTCTGCAGTCCTTGAGACCACAATTACCAGTCCCATCTGGGACATGTTATGCTTTTCCAAAAGTTCTGGCAGGATTACTGTAATACAGTACTGTACAGGTATATGTTTTATCCTCTTCACCACTAATCGGCTCGTAAGCCGCTTGGGCGATCGGTCACGTCTCTGATTACTTTTCCTTTTCTTTTATCCTCTTCACCAAAAGATCGGTTCGTTAGCCGCTTGGGCGATCGGTCACGGCTCTGTTACGCACTGTTGGCAAGTACTGGGCATGCACCGGCTCCTGAATGTACCTGAACCTGCTCCAGTGTTGGTCAAATCTTGTCTTGAAAGAGCTCACACTCGGTGCCGTCACAACACTCTCTGGTAGATTGTTCCAAGAATTCACAACTCTCACTCCGAAAAAGTTTGCCCTCACAGTTTTCTGGACTTGAGGCTTCTTCAATCTTGAGCTGTGACCCCTTGTGGGGCGAGCGTCCGCCAGCTGCAAGTAAGGACACTAGACTGAGTAGTGCCCCTTGCAATGCTTATACACCTCTATTAGGTCACCCCTTGCCCGTCTGTAGTATAAGCTAGGCAAGTTCAGGAGCTCCAATCTCTCAGGGTAGCTGAGGTGCTGAAGGGCAGGCACCAGTCTGGTGGCCCTCCTTTGAACATTTTTAACCAACTGACAGTCCTTAGCATATCTCGGGGACCAGACGGGGTGACAGTACTCCAGATGGAGAAGCACTTCACTCTTGAAGATCGTTACGAGGGACGGACCGTCTAGACATCTGAACGACCTTCTTATAAGACCCAATAATTTATTTGCCTGATTTACCTTCTTCTCGCAATGGCCCGAGAACTTCAGCTCATTGTCAACATACACACCTAGGTCCTTCTCACATTCAGTCTCAAATAGTGCAGTTTCTTCATCCTGTTGGGACATATGATCAAATTGGTAAGACAATAAAATTTTTACAAGCAAAGAAATATTACAAGTTTACAGTGTCCTCACTGGAATCCTGGAGGGAGGGAAGTTTTGACAGGCTCTAGTAATATCTCCATTAGCCGGAATCCCTCAAAACTGGATCTCCCTGATAGCCGGAATTTTCCGGAAAATTTTGGCTTTGGGAACAATTTTCTGAGGGGCACATTTTCCGGAAAATTCAGAGAAAACTTTCCTGATACCCGGAAAATTCCGGGGATGGGTTTTTTTTCCGAGTTTGAGATATGAAAATAAGGCACATTTCTTCCCAGAAAATTCCAGGGATGAGGGATTTTTTTATCCGGCTTTGAAAGAGTCGACTCGTTACCCGGAAATTTCTCATTCTCGGAAGTGCTCTGCACCAATTGTTTCGGCTAATGGAGATATCATTGTATTTGTATAACAATCTTACTGTGTTCACACCAGTATTTCCTTTATCAGGCATGATACTCCTATGCTTCCACATTCACAGAACCAGCAGATTAGAGACATGCAAAATTGCAGACACCAATAATTCTCCAGGAGTTGCACAAGCTGGACTTCCAATTAGCTTACCTATGAGCCTGTGTGTGTGTGTGTGCCCCAGAGGGACAGCACATAGGCCCACTGGCATGCCTCCATCATCAATATTTATAAGAACAAGGGAGACTGGTCAGACTGTGAAAACTACCGCAGGATCTCGCTGCTGTCCATAGCTGGCAAGATTATCGCCCCAGTCCTCCTAAACAGACTTCTTCCTGAGGCGGAAAGCTTCCTGCCAGAATCTCAATGTGGCTTAGACCTTCATGTGGCACCACTGACATGATCTTTGTTACCCACCAGATACAGGAAAAGTGCAGAGAACAGGGTCGTGACATGGCTTTCATCGACCTAACCAAGGCCTTCGACTCGGTCAACAAGGAAACCTTCTGGTGGACCCTCAGTCGTTTTGGCTGCCCACTTAAATTCATCGCCAATATGAGGAGACTCCACATTGGCATCCAGTCCGAGTTCTTTCCCATTTAAACGGGTTAAACAAAGATGTGTACTGGCACCAACTCTCTTTTCCATTTTCTTGGCTGCCTTCCTTACTATTGCCAGTGCCAATTTAGCCGGCGGGGTGGACATCCAGTACCGGATGAAGGGTCTTTTCAACATAAGACGACTCCAGGCAAAAACAAAGGTGTTGGCAGCTTCCATTATTGAACTTCAGTATGCAGACAACCTCACCCTTGTTGCTCACACTGAACACAACCTACAGGAGAACCTGAACACCTACGCAGATGCGTATGCACACTTCGGCCTTGAGGTGATGTACTGCGCACATCATTGTCATCCTTAACAACTCTTTTATTCATATTACGCTACATAACATTCAAACCCACTGCGCGTGTAGAGTCTCAGAAAATGGGAAACTTTGGTAAAGGATAACTCACCTACTGTTTGTTTTATACGAATTATACCAAGGTACGGTCATATAAAATTAAGTGTATGTACTCACAGAATTTAGAACTCAAGGTATCTATAGGATGATTGGGAAGGTCCAATTGATATGGACTAGTGTACAGTGATCCCTCGGTTAATGAGCATCTCGGTTAACGAGATTTCGGTTAACGAGTTACCTCCCATACGATTCTTAACTTCTGTTAACGAGCAATCCCTCGGTTAATGAGTTTCTTACGAGCCGACCTCAACATGTTTTCGCTTGCACTTGGCAGTCAACCAGCTGTAGTATTAGTCCGCCAATACAGTAATCGGTTCTAGGGCTTAAATTCCTTACTATTTTAGTAAATATCAAGAAGTTTATACTATTCAATAATTTTAAAAGTTTAATATTAAATTTTTTTAGTCATTTTAACAATTATTGAACATAATTGAAGGTAAAGTCACTAGTTTTATGCACGCCATCCAGCCTCTTAACACACCAAACAAGCGTTAGTCTCTCTCTGTTTTCAGTGGAGGTAACATCTTGCTTGAGACTCTCTTCAACCAAATGCTTTTTTCTGTGTTTCCAAGCAAATTATTGGTCATTTTAAAATTTATTTTACATATTGACAATATATAGCGCGGTGCAGTGTTATTTTAGAGAAAACATTCTTTATTTACAGCTAGTTTAAACTTAAAAAATCACGTGTTGACATTGTTTGAATCCAGCATGGGGCCTAAGAGATCAAGAAAAGCCATTTCAATCCAAACCAAGCAGGAAATTATATAAAAAAACATGAACAAGGCATTAGAACAAATGCGCTATGCAAAGAATATGGCATGTCGATATCAACTGTGTCGACAATTCTTGCACAGAAAGACAAATTTAAAGAAGTGAAAGTGAGAGACAAATCTACCAGAGTGTTTAAAAGTAGATCCCTAATTGCAGAAACTGAGAGGTTACTTCTCATCTGGATTAGGGAAAACAGATGAAAGGTGATTCAGTTTCTACTGAATTCATTTGTGAAAGAGCCAGGGAGATTTTTGAACATTTAAAGACAGATCAACCTGGTTCTTCAGGCACAGAATTTGAAGATTTTTGGGCCAGCAAAGGCTGGTTCGAAAAATTTAAGAAAAGAAGTGACATTTTCAGTGTTGTTAGGCATGGTGAAGCTGCTAGTGCTGATAAGGAAGGGGCAGCAAAGTTTTTTGTGGAATTTAAAGAACTGATGGATGAAGTGGTCCTCCTGATGAAGGCCAACTCTTTTTGTATTGTGAGGATGCAATATGTTTTATAAGGAATAAATTAGTTAAGTCATGCTTGATGTTTCACCCTTCTTCCCACTCTCGATTTGGTCAATGAAAATCCCAACCCAATGCCTAGCTTACTCTGCCTGCTACCTAACGAGCTACATACTGTCCAGGGGGGCTGGTGGCAGCGACCTTAAAATTAAGAATAGAGTTAGTTATCCCCTTAAAATTAGTGACCCCAGAATCGGGCAGTATAGGGAATGTACGTAAAACTCAGATTCTCTTTCAACCTGCCCCTGGTTCAGACACACCTCCACCATCCATCCAGCTTAACAGTACTACCCTCTCTAATGTTACCCACTTTCAGTATCTGGGCTCCCACCTGTCCACCACCGCGGACATCAATGAAGAGATTCAGCATCGGATCAGATGTGCATCTCAAGCCTTTGGCAGACCCCGAAACCGTGTCTTCAGCTGTAGGGAGCTGAAATTATCTACAAAGTTACACGTATATCGAGCAGTGGTCCTCCTCACCCTGGTATATGGCAGTGAGACATGGGTCACAAACAGGAGGCACCTCAAGGCACTCGAAAACTTTCACCAATGTAGTCTAAGTCCCATCATCTGTGTTCACTGGGAAGACAAGAGAACAAATGCCAGTACTCTTGCTGACACCAACTGTAGGAGCACTAAGGCTACCATTATCCATGAACTACTACGCTGGACTGACCATGTTACCCGCATGGACGACAGTAGACTGTCAAAGTAGCTACTTTACAGTCACCTAATGAATAGTAAACATAATGCCGGCAGGCAACTGAATAGGTATAAGGATAGTCTTAAGACAAACCTGAAAAAGTGACAAATCAACCCCCTCACATGTTAGTAGATTATTCCACATCGTAACGCTTGGAGGAGCACCACTCGAGAAGGTGTCAATACTTTCAAGTTAGCCCGACTGCAAGCCGAGGCAAACAAGCGCCAACGCCGGAAAGACTCTGCCACCGCCCCTCCCGCACTCTATGTAGCCCTCCACATGTGTAACTCGTGTGAACGACTCTGCTGGTCCTGTATCGGTCTCTTTACTCACTTCAAAACTCACCAATGAAGGTGACAGCCCTAACTCGTATCATTGTATCATAGCGGATTATCGTCATACTCGATTCCAAATGACAGCGAAGTAGAAGTAGTAGAGGTAAAAATAGCAGTAGTGTGTGTGTGTGTGTGTGGTTTTTTTACACTAATACATACACAGTCTTCACTTTGTCTCAATTATCACCATCTGACCCTCTGACATTGCCTAGGCGACTCATACTAAATATACTTCATTAGTCAATAAGAAAAAGGTATGGAATACCATAAAACCTCGAAGTACTGTAATGGAACTTACAAGGCAGTCGAGAGTTATACAGTTCTGACCTGTTCCTACAATACAGTACTATACTACGTGATAGTTTAGGTGAACTAAGAACACACTGGTAGCTTAAGCAACATAAATTAAGTAAGGTTATGAGAGAAGAGATAACATTGACGTTTAACAGATATGAAGCGAATTAACTGACAGGGCCAGTCACAGGCAGTTTGAGGCAGAGATGGTGAAAATTATTGTAATGAATCTCTTGTACATTACAGATTCAAATACAAAAATCAATAATTCTGACAACGAATGTAAGGCCACAGGTACAAACATGGCCAAGGTTGCAATAACGTCGACGAGATAAGATCATCATAACATAGTGCTGCCTTAACCTACCATACGTAGATTGAACAGTTCATTGAAATATAACCAACCAACCCGAACACTCACCTAATTACTCGGACTCTCATCTACCTACTTGGGTACTCACCTACCTACTTGGGCACTCACCTATCTACTTTGGCACTCACCTGTCCTTGAGTAAGAGGGTACTCGGGGGAAGCCAGGGGCAGCGTGGTGTCTCAAATGTTCCTTAAAGTCCTCTCCAGGTTCAGACCCGCTGAGTGAGGCAGTTTCAATAGCGTTCATCCCAGCACCCATTCCACATCTGAGGGTGAAGGCATCATGTATTACCCGCCTACTATACTCGGGAAGGCCAAATTAAATAAAGAGAAAAATCTACAATCCATCGCAATACAGTAATTAAAGGTTATTATCAATATTCATATATCAGTAGAATGTTTATAAGCCTATTGCAAAAACCGAAATAGTATTAGTATTAGTTGATATGCTAATTAATTCAGTAGTTTCTTGAAATATCCTAAGAAAAAGCTTAAAGAGATAAAGTGAGAGAGAAAGTGTAGAGGGAAATTGCACCTGGGACGTACCAACGGTAAGGAGGCGTATCATAATTATGTCGACGGGACGAAGAAGCTGCATTAATTGAGACCGAATGTGAAAAGGACCTAGGTGTGTATGTTGACAACGAGCTGAAGTTCTCGGGCCATTACGAGAAGGTGAATCAGGCAACTAAATTATTAGGTCTTATAAGAAGATCGTTCAGATCTTCAAGAGTGAAGTGCTTCCCCGTCTGGAGTACTGGCGCCCTGTCTGGTTCCCGAGATATGCTAGGGACTGTCAGTTGATTGAAAATGTCCAAAGGAGGGCCACCAGACTGGTGCCTGCACTTCGGCATCTCAACTACCCTAAGAGATTAGAGCGCCTGAAATTGCCTAGCTTATACTATAAACGGGCAAGGGGGGGGGGCCTAATTGAGGTGTACAAACATCTCAAAGGGCACTACTCAGTTACTCAGTCGAATGCCCTTACCTGGAGCTGGCGGACGCTCGCAACACAAGGGGTCACAGCTCAAGGTAGAAAGAAGAAGCTGCTAGCCCAGAAAACTGTGAGGGGTAACTTTTTCGGAGTGACAGTTGTGAACTCTTGGAGCAATCTGCCACTGCTGTGCCGGCACCGAGTGTGAGCTCTTTCAAGACCAGACTTGACAAGGACTGGAGCATGTTCAGATACATTCAGGAGCCAGTACATGCCCAGTACTTGCCAACAGCGCGTAACAGAGACGTGACCAATCGCCCAAGCGGCTAATGAGCCGATCAGTGGTGAAGAGGATAAAAAAAAAGTAAATCAAAAGAGAAAAACATAGATAGAAAGAAAGACATTTTAGTTAATAATTTCTAGCCAATTGTCACATTAAAATTAAGACCGGGTAAATCTCGTCTCTCTCGACGGCTAAGAACTGAAAGATTCTTAAAAACCTAACCTTTGTAACAGTATTTTTTCTGGCTAAATAAAATAAACTTTCTATTTCACCCCAACCTCGAACAATAGACATAAGGCGTGCGCAACATCTTCATTGTGAGTCAACGTAAGAAGACAATATTAGGGTCACGATTAGTCACGGTGTAAAAGATAAAGAAAATTACTACACCATATCACGAAATGGCCTTTGATAAAAAACAAAAACATAATCCAGTCCGTATGTGGAAACAGAACCATGAATGAGAGCCAGTGGGAACGTTACATCACCTAACCACGTCAAGATTTACACTCATCTCACAATGTCAAGACTTACATTCAACCACGTGAAGAACTACAACCAACCACGTCAAGACCAACATCCAACCACGTCAAGACCTACAACCAACCACGTCAAGACCTACAACCAACCACGTCAAGACCTACAACCAACCACGTCAAGATCTACACCCAATCACGTCAAGACCCACACCCATCCACGTCAAGACCTACAACCTACCAAGGAATAAAAACAGTCCTCTTGTTCAACCTTATTACTGCACAACCCAGGTTGTACTGCTCCCCCATTATACGTATGTTTTTAGATTCCACTCTAATTTATATGTATATGTGTATGTCTGTGTGTATGTATATATATATATATATATATATATATATATATATATATATATATATATATATATATATATATATATATATATATGTGTGTGTGTGTGTGTGTGTGTATATATATATATGTATGTATAAAAAAAAATAAGTACAAATAATACAAAAAATAAATAAAAAATAATAAATAATAAAATAATTAAATATTGAAGTGATAACCGTGGTAACACTATCTATGAGATGTACTTATTACCACCATGCTATTGTACTATTCCAAATGATACTAAATGTTACATAATACTTCCTTGGAGATAAATGTATAGTATATATCAGGTGCCTCAAAGAGAACTCAGGTTCTCAACTGGCTCAGCCATGTTAATATTGTTATTATTATCCACTCTGTATCTGTATTTTTCTGGCTAAATAAACTGTTACAATTCAGTTCCTTGCACCAACCACGTCAAGACCTACATCCAAGCACGCCAAGGCCAAAAGTTTTTTTTTTATAATCAGATGGCTAACAACACTGAAACCAAACCATTAAAACGACGAGAAGCCCAGAAAGACATAACCACAAGTGCCAGTTGACATGGTAAGAGCCAGTTTAGGGGCAAGTGATAGTTAACTAGGTAAACGCTAGCTCCAGTTAACTAAATTAAGTTCGTCCTTGAAACAGGCAGTCAAACACCGCACCACACACACGCACCACCACCTCAGTATTGATGCACCAACACACTCGACCTTGATACGCTCTTACCCGCACCAACTCAACCCGATTCATCACACAAATTGCAGATTCTATTCACCTAGTAAATACACCTTCGTTCCTTCATCCAACACTATCAATACAAGTGCAGATTTAGCTATAGAAGTGTCGTAAAAAAAATACGTCAACTTAACAACGAAAAGAAAGAAAATATTCTATATAAATCCAGATTGTCATGGTTTTGGGTATAATCGGTGGTAGTAGGAGTGGACTATATGATATAAAGATAATAATATGTCGTATTTCTTATTTCTTAGCGTAGAGTTCGATACCTTCACACTGGTTACTTACAGGACATTCCATGATTTATACTTGATAAATGATGATTTAATGAATTCCATTAATTTCCAACATCTATCTCAGTTATTGGTTATACTTTGTCATAACCAATCAGTTATTACCTTTAGTAATAATAAGATAGCATCACAGATACGGGCAGATAATTGCACTTACATTTATTTGTCAAGCTTCCATACAATGATTTACAATTTGCATGGATATATGATTCACTCACGTTCACGCTGTAATAAAATTAATCTTCTAAAACAGGGAATTTTCAACTTGGGGACACATGTCATTACTCTACTGTGGGTATGACTTAACAGAGCCTTAATTCCTCAAGTGATACATTTACTGTCAGCCTGGATTGCTTTTGTTACAACCAGGCTTCATCACAAGAACTTCTTTCCACGGGCCATAACACCAAAAGGTACTCTTGGGTTACCATACATAGTCTCGCGTCACTGACAGTCACTGTAGATGGGTGTCGTGCAGGAGAACTCTGTAAGCGTGAATTAATTAACCATTTACTGTAGGTTTGATAGGCCAGCCTGGATTGCTCTTGTTGCAACCAGGCATCCACACGTGATATTTCCACGGGGATAACAAACCTAGGTTAACACACTTAGTCTCGTGTCGACGACGGTTCACAGGACGGAGTGGCGGTGGAGGACTCTGTGTGGTGTGGTGTGGTGTCCCGCCCCCTTTCAGGAGGGAGAGGATGGAGACGACGTCTTAACTGTGCCATGGTCCAGGGGATACTACTCAAAATGAGGTTTTTGGGTGTGAAGCGATGAACAGTACAACACTGTTTCACTGCCCACCCCCCTAAAGGCTGGCTAACATACACTAATGAAAAATACATGTCTCAGTTATGCCTCGCCGGGCGTCTAATCTCTAGTAAAACAAACTTTGGAGTTGGTTGCGTGGGTAAGCCTAACGCAACCCATGACACAGATATTGTACTCAAGAATGAAAATTTTAGTAAATTTTGGAATGCGATTCTACTGGATTTAAATGCTGATCATATTTTCACGTATTAAACAAAAAATTATCATGTTACTTTAAGACTCAAAAACCACTTCGGCGCTATATTGGCAGCCATCTCGATGTGTTACAAGAAGAGGGTTTTAAATCTTCCCACATCTGTAAATAAAGAAATAAATATGACTGTACGAACCTTTGACAACCTAGAACCAGGTTTGTTTTTAAGCTGTTTTAAGTCGTATTATCTGCAAGTTAAATGTTAATCTGGTAACAGTAATTGTCGCAGCATTTTATGAATTTAAAAGATGGCACGATACTGTGTGTGTGTACTTTCTGAATTGGTATAAACCTTTTGTACTCTTACCTACTTTCTCTACTAATACGTTCTACTTTGTTTACTATCATCTACTTTACATATTTATATCGACTGTAGTTTATGTATAAGCATCTAGTTTACACATCAATATCTACTTTCTGTACTACTACTACTATTTCTACAAGGAACTACTTTGTTTCGGCCAGACTCTTATTATAGTCTTTAGTTTCGGCTATATGTTCACCCCGCCCACCCTCAGGTTTTGTGTGTCGAGTCTTGTAATTACTCCGCTGGACAACATCACTATCCCTATTCAAACATGTGTAGCAACAAACACCCCATAAACCACTCCTTTCCACACACAATGACAAATATAAATATAATCTGCAGACATCAAGTATACACACACTCCCATAAAACACACACCAAACATTACTTTCCTACAACCTTGAAATAATAGTTAACAATTCCTGTTTGATGCCCTAACATCAAATTTTGTTTACCATTGTTTGTGTGATGCTTATTCACACCAACTTGTGTAAACTGTACTTGCTTCAGTCGTCTTGCTGTTATCATTGTTTGTATACATGCACTGACTTGTATACGTAACAATTTTACTACATCAATGTCTGTCTATCGATCTACTTAGGTTCGCTTGTCTCTCCCTGTGATGTGGTAAGAGTGAAGAAGATGCAGTCAGTCAGGTGGTGGCAGTGTAGGAGGGACAGGAAATGTGTGCAACAAGAGGGAGGAGTGATACAACATACTCCCAGGGTGGTGATGGTGTGACCGTTGGGGTAACAAACCGCACGGTTGACGTAACTAAATCTACTACACACACACACACACTTGCCTCCACAAAAACAGTTTTCTTAAG